GAGTGCAACTCCATGCGGATTCTGTCGGTTAAGAATGCTACTTGGCTCCGGTCCCGGAGGTCACCTGCTTACCAACTCATCCCGGAGACTTCAGTAGTCTTTACTCACTGCTTCAACTTCGACGCAGGCCCCAACCTTACACCCTGAGTCACAAACGAACCCTGAGTCACAAACGAACGAACTGAGAATAGTGTTATGTAGGGGCCTAAATAATTACCTATATTTTTTGGGGGTCCTTGTTATGGTATTTTATACCCCAAACCCTATTCTTATTATTAAGGCAACTATATTTGAGAATTTGGGGTTGGGGTTTAGGGTGTAGGACCAGGCGATGTCAAGACTTTTCGGTGCAATGCTTGGGCTTCCGGGCTTCGCGTTCTTGTTGAATTTATCCAACAACCACAAAAGCGCAAAAAGGCCGTAGCCTGGTCATAGGACTGTAGCGGACCATTATTATCTCAGGCCGCAAAACTCTATGACCCAAACCCTAAACCCTACTCCAATTTTGCTATAATCCCTACGAGCTCCAAACCCTCATAGATTCCTTGCCAGGAACCCTTACCCTCACCCTCAAAGGACTCATATTTTAAGGCTTTTGGGCCCAAAAACTCATTATGGTAGACTTTTGGGCTGTTATGATGCTAAACCCTAAACCCTGAACCCTGAACCCTAAAGGTTATCGACCCCCTTAAAAGGAACCCTTTAACTGATTAGGCAAAGCCCCGAAATCCTTCCAACAAGACGGCGCCTTCTCCCCGGGGGTCCCAAGAGACGTGAAGCTTCCTGGAAGCCGGGTTTTTGGTGTTTTAGGGTTTTGGGTTTATAGGCTGTGTTGAGGGCACATTTTCTCACTGCTGGTGAGGAAGTTGTCGGTTTCGGCCCAAACCGTAAGGGCCCAAGTACCCAATAATCATAGACTCTCTCGAAAATAAACCTAGATAACTACGATCCGCCCAAGCAAAGCACAGTACCTGATTAATTGGGCCCTTTGGGCCCTTAGGCCCTCAGCATCAAAATAAGCCAAAAGCCTTCCATAATGGTGTCTTTGGGCCCAAAGCCTTAAAATATGAGTCCTTTGAGGGTAATTAACCCTAAACCCTAAACCCTAAACCGTACCCTAAAGCTTAAGCAACCCCGAATCCTTTGAGGGTAAGGGTTAGGGAAATAGGCTCGTCCTGACGTACTCCCCGGTCTTTTTGCCGAGCTTAGACCCGAAGCCCCACAACTGAAAGCTTTCCACGGCTTACGGTCTTGGGGCTCCGGGTTAGGGTTTCGGGTTTAGGGTTTAGGGGTTCCGGTTTAGGGTTTAGGGTTTAGGGTTTAGGGGTTCCGGTTTAGGGTTTAGGCGGGTTTAGGGGTTAGGGTTTGGGGTTTAAGGTCTGGGCAGGAAAAAAGCAGTGAAGTTGGAAGCCGGGTTAAGGACGATTGGTGCTGGGGTCCTGCAGGAGACAATGTTGCTGCTTTCCTAAAACTTCAACTCGCGGACCCTTCAAATCCTAACCGAAAGCCCCATGCACCGTAAACCCTTCGCCCCTAAGCCACTACTCTCCAAGACCCTAAACTGCCCAAACCCTGAGCCCTCAAGCAACCTTTATAACCAGAGCGCCAAAAAGCCTGATTACTGATGACCCCTATAAGTCCGAGTCCGCGCAGATCCTAAACTCCAAATCCGAAGCGGCCCGCAACCCGAAACTCCAAAATCCTAAACTTACCCTAATACGCTAAATCCCTATAATCCTAAACGCCAAATCCTAAACCCTAATACTCTAAACCCCAATATTCCTAAACTCCAAAACCTAACCTCTAAACCCCCTATAATCCTAACTATAACCCCATACCCTAAACCCTAAACCCTAATACTCTAAACCCCCTATACTCCTAATCCTAAACCCTAATACTGAAAACCCTATACTCCTAACCCTAAGCCCTAATACTCTAAACCCCCTATATACTAATCCTAAACCCTAAGCCCTAATACTCTAAACCCCCTATATAATAATCCTAAACCCTAAGCCCTAATACTCTAAACCCTATACTCTAAACCCTAAACCCTAATACTCTAAACCCCCTATACTCCTAATCGTAAACCCTAATACTCTAAACCCTATACTCCTAAACCCTAAACCCTAATACTCTAAACCTCCTATATAATAATCCTAAACCCTAAGCCCTAATACTCTAAACCCCCTATATAATCATCCTAAACCCTATAAGCCCTAATACTCTAAACCCCCTATATAATCCTTATAGGATTCCTGAACCAACCAAAGCCTATAATCCTAAAAGCCCTAATACTCTAAACCCCTGTAATCCTAAACACTAAACCATGATACTCTAAACCTCCTATAATCCTTATGGGATTTCTGAACCAACCAAAGTCCGGCAGTTTGCAGGAAAGGAGCTTCGGAGGACCCAAAGGAACCTCCTGCTTCCAATTCTTGCCGTGGGCCTCCTTTGGGGTTTAGGGTTTAGGGGTGAGGGTTTAGGTTTTGTTGCTTTAAGTGTTCAGGGTTTAGGGGTGAGGGTTTAGGTTTTGTTGCTTTAAGTGTTTAGGGTTTAGGGGTGAGGGTTTCGGTTTTGTTGCTTTAAGTGTTCAGGGTTTAGGGGTTTAGGGTTTAGGGTTTTTGCTTTAAGTGGTTAGGGGTTTAGGGTTTAGGGTTTAGGGTTCAGGGGTTTAGGGTTTAGGGTGTTTAGGGTTAGGGGTTAGGGTTTAGGGTTCAGGGGTTTAGGGTGTTTAGGGTTAGGGGTTAGGGTTTAGAGTTTGAGGTTTAGCGAAGGTCTGTGCTAGTGGCGGACACGCAGAAAATCCGTTAAACATCTAAGTTGCAACTGCAGACCTCACCTGAACACCCCCTCGCAAGGAAACAACAACAGCTGGCTGCTTATTCCAGCAATGTAGAAGCAACTCACTATCATCATGAGTAAACCCAAACGCAGGTACGATTTTGGAGCTTCTTGACCCCAATTACGAGGTTATCGGGACTTACTTTCTAAAAGGGCTGGGGTTGACAGGCGAGGATCAACTCGACCCTAGAATCCCTAGAGCACCGAACGCTTGTCGATATCATCATAGAACCCTTTCTGGAAACCTGTATGCTGAACACACGATCGGGCCGAAATAGTTCCAAACATGATGCAGAGTATCGCAGAACTCCAGAGAACCCTAAATCGCAAAACCCTGACCAAGCATCCTCTCCAGCAATTTTGTATAGAAGCCCGGTCGCTGAGATCTATCATCCTTCAACCCCTAAAGCCGAAAACCCTTCCGAACCCAAGTCTCCTGGCTGCCACCCCAAGAGATATGGCCGTCGCGCTCGGGGAAAAAGCCTGCAGCCACAGTATCACAAAACCTCGATTATCCCTTTATTCACAATGGTGCTTAGGGTTTAACGGTTTAGGGTTTAGGGTCTATGGTTTAGGGTGCGCATGCCTTGAATTTCTAGGGGGGCATCCCTGATATGCATGTGCGGTATATTCTCCCTAAACCCTAAACCCTAAACCCTAAACCCTAAACCCCTAGTATGTGGTGCTTGGAGCCTCTGATATTCCAAGTGTCGAGGCTGCTAGGGACTTCGTAGGGTGTATCAGGTTCGATATAGGGCCCTGACTAGTAAGACTCGGGTTTTGGGGTATGGTAGAATATGATGATGCATGATACTTGCAGTTGGCCGACTACCGCTGCAGAGGCGACGGTGGCCAGCCAGTGAACAACAAAGTGTGAAGCGTGACGGGGTGCCACGATGTCGTAGCAATAGGTATGGAATGAAAAAGAAGGTAGGCAGAGCATGCCAGTGGCCTGACATGGGCCCTGGCGAGCTCAAGGGAAGCCTGCTCTTAGCAGCGACTGAAATCCTTCGAAGTGGTTCTTACTTTCGTTCTTATGGCGGACATGCTTGAAGCATAAGGGTACAATGAGGGTAGCATGAAGGTGCTGCAACCTGAGCCCTAAATGCTCAATCTTCAACACTATAAGCCCTGGAAATTCGCCTAGAATACAAAATCGAATGTTGGGCCCTAAACCCCAAAAGCATAGGGGCCTTACAGATTAGAAGAGAATTTTGATGTGTATTGTACTATAGAGGAACTCTAGGCAATTCTATTCTGTTCCTACTGACTCAGACCCTAACGGCCTTAGGGTCTTGAGTTTAGGGTTGAGGTTTTGGGTTGAGGGTTTAGGGTTTGGGGATTGGGATTTAGAGTTTGGGGCTCAGGGATTGGATTGGGCGTGTTTTTCCTCCCGTGCGGGGTTTAGTTTTGGCGTGTAGCGTTTTTCTTGCAAGGGCTCCATCAAGTGTGCCCTGCAAGAAGACTCAACCCCTGGGCAACAAGCTTCAGAATTCCGGCCCGCAACAAAGCCTTTTGCCATCGGGCTGGCATTTCACAAACACCCCTACTGTTCGGCAACATGTGCCCTACACTCCCTCTGCCCTTTCCTTTAACTCAAATCCGAAACCCTGCCTCCAAGATCCCCGAAACCCTAAACCCGAACCCGAACCCTCGCCCTTAACCATGAAGCCTCTTGTGAACCAAAAGCCCTAACCCTAAATGCCCAAATCCGACACCTGAAGGCTGCCTTAAGCCTTAAACCTTGCACCCAAAACGCAACCACTAAATCCTACACATGGGTTTAGGGTGTAGAGTTTAGCGTCTTTACCCCCTGAAAGGGTTTCGGCCTGGACCTCAGGCTTTAGGGATTGGATAAAGTAAAGTTTGTTGGTTTAACCCTAAACCCTAAACCCTAAACCCTAAACCCTAAACCCCAAACCCTAGTTAGGGGTTTAGGGGTTTAGGGCTCAGGCCTTCGGGATTGGATAAGGTTTGAGGGTTTAGGGTTCACGCTTCAGGGTTTGGGATAAGGTTTGGGAGTTTAGGGGTTTAGGGTTTAGGGTTCAGGCTTTTGGGTTTGGGATCAGGTTTGGGAGTTTAGGGGTTTCGGGTCTAGGGCTTATATCAGCGTTTGGGGCTTAGGCTTCAGGGTTGAGGAAGTCCGTCCGAGAAACGCTGATTCCAGTCGTTGTCGCGCACCACTTGGAACTCCACAGGAGCACCAGGAGGGATATCCACCTCAAGGGTCCCCCCTCGAAACGGTAGGAAATCGTAGTTTGGAAATTTGATGGGGGATGCCAAAACCCAAGAAAAAATGCCCACTCCCAAACAGATTGCACGAACACGAAACAAAACCCGACGCTTCAAACTTCAAACAATAGAAAATGCTTGCCTGAGTGACTTGACTTAAGAAAGGAATTAAGTCTTGAATACTCTCCCTCTGACTCAGTGAGTCGGCGTGCACACAGATTCTCATCACCATGGTCATCAACACCAACCAACATCCTCACGACCGCAGTTTGTTTGGGTTTGGCTTTAGGGCCTTTAGGGCTCAGGCTTTATCAAAAAGACTTATGCAGTCGCACCAAGGCAAATTCCCTGGCACTCCAAATAGCCCAAGGTAGGTACTATTTGCAGGCTTTAGACCCCAAAGTAGGTACTATTTGTATACTTGGAGCCTTTGGGATTCTCCACAAGTGAGAAGGAGGGCAAGCCAGGGCCGAACGGAGGCCTCCGCCACCAGTGCCTCGCGTCCCAGGCCGGAGAAGTGCAGGGGATGAAAGGCTGCCCAATCCTGAGTTGCTTTGGGGTTCTACTCGGAGGTCCTTCGTGTATCTACGAATCCTACTATTTGGGGATCGGATAATTGGGTTTAGGATTTCGGCCTGGGCTTTAGATTCTAGGCTTGGGATGTAGGCTGGATGTACATCCATAACTAAGTGCAAAGCTGCTTACAGAAGCTTTTTGCCTGGACCACGACGGCTGAAATCCTCTACACGTCACCCTCCAAAAACCAGCAGAAGCACCTAGAAGGATGCGTGCATACAACAACACTGTCATATGTTTCTGAAGGACCGAAGCATTTGTCAACATGCGAAGAATTGAACGATAAGTTTGGTGTCGCACGTGCTAATTCAAAAGCCCGAAAAAACCCAAACCGCTAAGACACAAAGGGATATAATTATACACGGTTTAGAGTTTATAGGGTTTAGGGGGCTTAGGGTTTAGGGTTACCCACCCAACTCTAACTCCTCAATGAACTGAACTATCCGAGCAACTGAGGTGCCTAAAGTACCCCACAATCCCCAAATTTAATATAGGGGCCTGAAATATTGGAATAAGGTTTTGGGGATTATAATTATAGTATCCTGTACCCCCCAAACCCTATTCTGATTATTAAGGCCCCTATTTTAAGCACTCGCCACGGCTCGTCCCAACTACCCACGAGAGCGTAGGTCCTGAACTTCGCTGGAGGCCCGGAATGGATTTTTGGGATTCAAGGGATCAGCGCCCTTAGGCCGTAAGGCTGTTCAAGTGTTGTAGTTACAAGCTATAGGATGTTCTAGGGGTGAGGGCAGTTTTAGGATTCGGATTCTAGGGATTGTATTGCCAAGTGACCCTACAAGAACGTTCCCACGTGAACGGACAAGAAGCCTGCCACCACCGTACGGTCAATCCCCACAAAACCCTAAACCTAAACCCTAAACCCTAAACCGTCCTGCCTTGAGGCCATGAGGCCTGGGGCCCCAACCCTCCCAAAGCCAAAGCCCCCAGCGACTCCACTATCCCTTAAAAAAGGAATATACCTTAAAACATAGTAGGGATCAAAGTATATTCCTTATGATTAAGGGATATTGGAGTCTCTGGGCCCATGAATTCCAGACGTAAAACACCCAACCCTGCCCTGAGTTCACCGTCCTTTCCAAGACCTCTGCATCAAACTCGTCAAAGGCGAGCAACTCGGTAGAGGAAGAGCCAGGCTGTCTTGGGTGCTAGTGTTTTCGGGGTTTGCAGGACCCCTCGAAGGAACCCTTTCTTACGAAGGTTAACGGACACATCTAGGAACCCTCAGAATCAACGAGGAGCCCTTGTAATAGGCCCTAAAACCAACCCTGAAAAAGGTGCCCTTCCAGGAACATTTAAAGGGGACCCTACTAGTACCCGAGAGTATACCCTTGAAGGGGACCCCATTATAGTACCCTACAGTACTCGCAAAGGGGCCCTATTACAGAACCCAATATAGTACCCTTAAAAGGGACCCTATTATAGTACCCTAACGTACCCTGAAAGGGGACCCATAGTACTTAAAGGGGACCCGATTATAGTACCCCATAGTTCACCCTAAAGGGGACCCTATTATAGAATCCTATATATAGCACCCTTAACTGGGACCTTATAATACCCTGTAGCACCCTTAAAGGTGGCCCTATCACAGTACCCTTAGAGGAATCTTGAGTGACCCCTGCAAGGGTAGTAGCTTTGATTAGGCCCGGAAGCGGCAGAGGTCGCCGGCAACGGGGCGTCGATGATGCTGGGAGCGACGTTGTAGCCTGGAAGAGTCTTGAGCCAGGGTTCTGTAAGTTTTTAGGATTCCGCTGAACCCTAAGCCCTAAACCCTAAACCCTCAACCCTAATTCCTAAGCCCTATAAGCCCGACACCATAAACCTTTAGGATTCGGAGTTTAGGGTGTGCTTTGAAGGGTTTAGGGCAGGACGGCTTGGGCTCAGAAGGCTTAGGGGTTTGGAGGTTTTCAGGGGCGGCAGCCTGAGACGCTAGGGTTTAGGGTTTAGGGTTTAGGGTTTAGGGTTTAGGGTTTAGGGTTTAGGGCGATAGCATACATCAATATCCGGATTTAGGTTCCGAACATGAGGTTGAGGCACAGTTGCACAATATCAGCGCCTCCCTCCACCCTTACCGTAAGCAAATACCGGGGCCTTGGTAGTTAGAATAAAGCTTTGAGTAAAATACAGTTATAAAGTATAGTTTGAATTTTGAACCCTAGGAAACATTGGTAATCTTTCCGGTCTCTAAAGTAGTCGAGAACTGGAATCCTGAAAACCTCGCTGAGGAAGCGACTGTTGGATCGCAGGAACTCCGGATGCTCGTCCTTCTGCACGTCTGTTCCTCTGCCGCGGTTGTCTTGCATCCTAAACCCTACACACCACAGCAAAGTAGACTGCCCCCCCATGCTCTCTACTTTTTCAGCCCATGATCTACTCTTTCAGCCCAGGGTGCGGAAGTCTCTCTTGTTCTGCACCGCCAGGGGTGGCCAGAGGATGTAGCTCATGGGCCTGACCGTGTAGGAGAGCCTCAAGCCAGGGTAAAGAAGGCAAACAGGGTTAGGGCTTAAGGTTTAGGGTTTAGCGGTTTAGGGCTTAGGGTTGAGGGTTTAGAGGTTTAGGGTTTAGGGTTTAGGGGTTTAAGGTTTAGGGTTTAGTTTAGCGTTTAGGGTATCGGAGTTCAGCTACAGTTTTTTGGTTTCATGAAGGGTTCTTTTGATGCACCAGCCTTTTCGGCAAAGGCAAAGAGTTTAAGGGCTAGTGTTTAGGTTTCAGACTTGGCTTCCTCAACAAAGACAGGTCTGGGGTTTAGGTGCATGTGGTCTCTCCTTGTTTGGTTAATCAGTTTTACCGTGGAGACTGCAGGAAAGTCTCCTAAATCCGTAACCCTACTGTTGATGATATAAATCCTGCATTAGCTAAGGGACCCTAAACTATGGGAATTATGGTATATTCCTTATGAAGGGTAATGCAGGATTTATATCATCAGCCGTAGTAGCCTCTTGTTAGGGTTGGACCTCGTGAGCCTCTCGAAGCCAAGCAGCATCATGTCCTCGCTGACCCAGAGTGGCGGATCGCACAGTCGCGAGTTCCTTGCAAGGTTTAGGTTTAGGGCTTTCCTTGAGGGCTCAGGGTTCAGGGCTTTGGGAATTCCTTGAGGGTTTAGTGTTTAGGGTTTTCCTTGGGGATGTAAGGTTTAGGGCTCGAAGCATACATCCCTTTAGCTACCTATGCTCTTGATGGGCGAAGTCCTGCAATATCCATCACAAGGAAGACAACAATATCAGTGTTCCAGGAGCATGTCGTTGTGACAACAATTGTACCCTATAGTACCCTTAGAAAGTGGACCCTACTAATACGTACCCTATAGTACCCTTAAAGGGGACCCTATATCTTAATGGTAAAGCATTCTGGTTGAATCCACATGATGCAGGCATCAATCAGGCCTCCAAGCCTCCAAGTGCATATACATATATCGGTCTGTCTCCGTCTGTCTCGGTCTTTCTCCGTCTGTCTCTGTCTGTCTGGCTGGCTTGTATGTCGGTGTACGTCCCTATGTATCTATGTATGCATGTAAGTCCGTATAGACATGAAGCTTTGGAGAGTGACTCGAAGCATTGGTGTTTGCACGTTGACGGTGACTGTTCTTCCTATGCCCATACTATGCATGCTATTCTTCCGGGTGTTGTTGCTAGGGTCATTACTATAGGTATACACGCGTCTGCTGATACTTACTTCGACTATATGGGTCTCATGTCTACCCTTATGGTTGTGTGTATATCCCTGTCGTAAGCCAAAACTGTTCTCTGATGTAACCAGGGAGAGAAAAGTATATTCTTACATCTCATAGTAGCTCCTTTAAGGAGCAGGTCCAACAGACACAACAAAGGATAATACTTCGGAAGAACCTAGATACACCATGAACACTGTGTTCCAGACCCTAAACCCTACATCCTAAACCCTAAACCCTAAATCCTAAACAATAAACCCTAAACCGTAAACCCTAAACCCGGAACCCTGATCCTGAACCTTAAACCCTTAAACCCTAAACCCTAAACCCTCAACCCGCAACCTTGACCGGCTTTCTGCGGCCCACTGCTCAGAGTCAGCATGGTGTCCAGCTGCCAGCACAGCGGGAAGCACACTCTCAGAGCTTCCCGGACACCTGGTCTAGCCCTAAGGGTCCAAGTACCTAACAATCATATACTCTCTCAAACATTAACCTAGATATTTACTATCCGCAACCATAGTACCTTATTATTGGGTCCTTTGGACCCTTAGGGTAGTGGTCGGGCTTCCCATAGACTCCACACATCTTTAACTGATGTTTACACTTCTTTAACCGACTTTTAAAAATCTTTCTGGCTTTTCATTGAAAACAACCTATGGGGCCCGGGAGTCGGCTTTTAGGGTCCAGGGTTTAGTGTTACGGGCTTTAGGGCTTTTCAGGGTTTAGGGTTTAGGGTTGAAGGGCAGAAGTTGTAAACACAATGGAAGGACATGTGTGTAAGTACATGCGTACCTATCTAGGTAAGTAAACAAGTCTGTCTGCATGTATGTTTTCTGCTCATACCTACATGTGTGTATATATATATACATACATACATATGTATAGTATATAGCATACACATTTACACATGCAGGTACATACATATATGTATATACAGATTACATATACATGTGCATATCCACATATACATGTATATGTATGCATGGATGGATGGATGGATGGACGGGCGGACGGACTGATGGAGAGTTGGATAGCAGGATGGATGGATGCTTGATGTGTCTGTCTGTTGTTCGTTGCACAAAACTGCGAAACAAGCACGCAACGAACAACAGATCAAGCCTCCTCCCCCGAACTTGTGTTTATCTAGTGCCAGGGCTGCTGAGAAGGACAGCTATCTGTCTACATGCAATGGTTACTACAGGTGCAATAACCGGAACAAATGCAGCTGGGAAATGGGAGGCCTTAGATAACTCAAGCAAAGCACTTTCGTTGTTCACCCACCTTAGTTGTAAGCCGCACGAGCCTCCGAACGTCAAAGACATGCTTGGTCGGCGGTGACTATTGACCAAACAAGCAAAACATTTTACACTTTACAAACCCCATACAACCGCCCAGGCCCTAAACCCCAAACCCCTCAAACCCAATTAACCCTAAACCCTAAACCTAAAACTGCATGGAGTTCTGGCCTTCTACGTTGATCACGTAAGCCGTCGTTTCGCGCGAACCGTTGTAAACTCTCCTCCGTCTCGCAGTCTGCACGAAGCAAAAGCCATAGGGTCCAGATATACTACAGCTATGGAACTAGGTCCCTCCTTCTTATGGTTTTGGGGACCTAATTCCACAATCGTAGTCTGCATGGCCCTACTGGAATTTCCACTTCTTAAGGTTGAGTGTTTAGACTCTAGACACCATGCCGGAAACTCTTGCCTAAATTCCGAGAACGGCCTCGTACACTTGATAGATCAACCCCAAAGCTGCAAACAGAAGAATGAGGAACACACCACAACGCCATAGTTCAGGCTTCGTTACAATCCAAGCTTCATGCCCTACTGCGAGATTGGAGGAGTTGGGGGCACGAAGCTTGGATTTTGATGTGGCTGGCACCTACTAATGCAAAGCTCCTTAAGGTAAGGAGGAACTACAATCCATCCATTTCTGCTTCTAACACGTCACACAAACTCAACCCATCCCCCCAGTCATGAAGACCCGAATCCTACTGAAGATCGTAGACTTTATCTTGCCCGGCTTTCCCAACTCTTCAAGTGGGGACTCGACAACTCGGCGCAGCAGAACCCGTTGCTTACGATCTTTCATGCAGAAACGAAGTCCTCACGCCCGGAGAGATCTGCAGCAAAGGCTGGAGACCCATGGCATCCACACCACCCAAGAAGACTAGCTGCCAGTCCTGGAACGCAATTCGTCACATGGCCCACGATTGTTCCACACTGGGTAGAAACTATGTGACCACGTGCAGTCTGAACAATAACGTCACGAGAGTTGATCCAGCGACACTGTAACGATCATGATTCGTCTCGTCTCCGGGTATTAATTACGAACCTCTTTCTTCGTCAGATTCGTCTCAGTCACAGCCGCGTTCCTCTAGTACTTTGGCAGCACTGAGCCCGCTTCTACATGCGGTCAATCATCAAAGGGTCTTATTGATTCGAATGCTGCTTTTCTGTATCTTATTAATGTATAGTATATGATTAACCCAGAAGGAATAGTCTTCAGGACTGCTTCCCTGGAAAATGCATCCCGGAGGGCACCCTTCGAACTTGAATTGTAAGAGCGAAACAATACTAGGATCCCTAATTAGATTTAAGGCATATTCCTTAATAAAGGGATATTGGAGTCTCTGGGTAAGGCTCTGGGGATCAAGAAATTCTGATGAAAAGCTTTGTCAGGGCTTTCGCCTTCTGGAAATCCGCCGCAAAAAAACCAGAGCGCTGGCACTTTGGAAAGGAACCCCCGGAACTCGAAACATATCGAACTCCTGAATTACCCTAAGCCCCTAAGCTTTAGTTTGACACGCTAAACCCGGTTGAATTCAAGCCATAAACCCTAAACCTGAAGTCCTGAAATCCTAAACCCTGAACCCTAAACCAAGTTCAGGCGAGTCACATCCGGCACTTCTGCCAGTCTGGCCTTTCGGCTGCTTGGGCTTTGCACGAGAGGAATTGGGAGTACGGTTTGGCATGCAGGTGTACAGATACAGGGTTTAGGGTAAGGGGCGAAGTATGTCATAGCTTGGCGCATGGCTAGAGCGGTTAGTTTTCAAGATCGCTTCGGGGGTCAAGGAGGCTAAAGAATGATGTACCTGCAAGCAGATCCAAATCCCAAGTCCTACACCGGCCCTACATGCTGTCAAATCCTAGCTTGCCCCACGAGGTCCCGAACTCCGGACCTCAAAACCGAAACTTGCCCCTAACGCCTACACCCTAAACCCTAGACCCAAGACCCTAACTAAGCGCATAATGGAGACCCCCCACCAAAATCACAGAGGAACAGGGTGCTACAGTAAAGCTGTTATAATGGGAACCCTTCAGGGAGCCCTATAGAACCTCTATAGTACCCCAAACCCCTAACCCAAAACCCTAAAGCTGAAACCCCAACCCCTAAACCTCAGACCCTAAACCCTAAACCCCAACCGCAAACCTAAACCTTAAGCCCTAAACCCTAAACCCCAACCCCAAACCTAAACCTCAAGCCCTAAACCTTCAACCCTAACTCTAAACCTTCAACCCTAAACCC